AAAATAGTTTTTTTTTTTTCCTTTTCTGTTCCTCCTTTTCTCATTTCCTTTTTTTATGAACAGGGTTTCTTTCCAAGGCCTAATCTGTTCTTGAAGCCATAATCATTCTCCTCGGCATTCTGAATAGTGGGACTGTCTCTGGACTCTGAGGACAAAGGCCTGAGCTCTGGAAGTCTAAATATACCACTCAAAGAAATGAGTTGTATTTGGGGCATAGATATTCAAAATTGTGATGTCCTCTTGTTGGATTTTTCCTTTGATGAGAATATAGTGGCCCTCCTTATCTTTTTTGATTAACTTGGGTTGAAAGTCTATTTTATTAGATATTAGGATGGCTACTCCAGCTTGTTTTCTGGAACCATTTGCTTGAAAAACATTTTTCCAGCCCTTTACTCTGAGGTAGTGTTTATCTTTGTTGCATAGGTGTGTTTCTTGGATGCAACAGAATGTTGGGTCCTGTTTCCGTAACCATTCTGTTAGCCTGTGTCTTTTTATTGGTGAGTTGAGTCCATTAATATTGATAGATAATATTGACCAATGCATGTTAGTTCCTTGTGTAATGGAGTCGATGATCTTACCTTGTTTCATTGCTTGTTTTCTTTTCATTTTTGTTGGGACATTATCTGTATGCCCTGTTTTCTTGGGTGAATTCGTTTTCGTTGGATTGGAGTTTTCCTTCTAGTATCTTCTGTAGGGTTGGTTTGCTGTATAGATATTGCGTAAATTTAGTTTTGTCATGGAATATTTTGTTTTCTCCATCTATGTTGATTGAAAGCTTTGCAGGGTATAGTAGTCTGGGTTGACATTTGTGATCTCTTAGAGTCTCCATGATGCTTGCCCAGGCCCTTCTGGCTTTCATAGTTTCTGGTGAGAAGTCTGGTGTGATTCTGATAGGTCTACCTTCATATGTTACTTGGCCTTTTTCCCTTGCTGCTTTTAATATCTTTTCTTTGTTCTGTAGATTTAGTGTTTTGACTATGATGTGACGTGATGTGTTTCTTTTCTGGTCTAGTCTATTTGGTGTTCTGTAGGCCTCTTGTATATTTATGGACATCTCTTTCTTTAAGTTGGGAAAATTTTCTTCTATGATTTTTTTGAAAATATTTTCTGGACCTTGGAGCCTGGAGTCTTCTTTTTCATCAATTCCTATTATTCTTAGATTTTGTCTTTTCATAGCATCCTTGATTTCTTGGATATTTTGTGATTGGAATTTTTCTGATTTTACTTTCCTTAGATGCTGAAAAAGCATTTGACAAAGTCCAGCACCCATTTATGTTTAAAGTCTTGGAGAGATCAGGGATACAAGGCACATACCTAAAGATAGTAAAGGCAATATACAGCAAGCCTATAGCCAACATCAAACTCAATGGAGAGAAACTTAAATCAATCCCACTGAAATCAGGGACAAGACAAGGCTGCCCACTCTCTCCATATCTCTTTAACATTGTACTTGAAGTCCTAGCCAGAGCAATAAGACAACTAAAGGAGATCAAGGGGATACAAATCGGAAAGGAAGAGGTCAAAGTGTCACTATTTGCAGATGATATGATAGTATACATGAGCGACCCCAAAGATTCAACCAGAGAACTTCTTCAGCTGATAAACACCTTCAGCAAAGTGGCAGGATACAAAATCAACTCAAAAAAATCAGAGGCCCTCTTGTATACCAAAGACAAAAAGGCTGAGAAAGAAATTAGGGAAACAACACCCTTCACAATAGCCACTAACAACATAAAGTACCTTGGTGTGACTCTAACCAAGCAAGTGAAAGACCTGTTTGAGAAAAACTTCAAGTCTTTGAAGAAAGAAATTGAAGAAGATCTCAGAAGATGGAAAGATCTCCCGTGCTCATGGATTGGTAGGATTAACATTGTGAAAATGGCCATCCTGCCAAAAGCAATCTACAGATTCAATGCAATTCCCATCAAAATACCAACTCAATTCTTTACAGACCTTGAAAAAAAGATTCTCAGCTTCATATGGAGAAACAAAAAACCCAGAATCTCCAAAACGATCCTGTACAACAACAGATCATCTGGAGGTATCTCCATTCCCGATCTCAAGCTGTACTACAGGGCAACAGTAATAAAAACTGCATGGTATTGGCATAGAAACAGAAAGGAGGATCAATGGAATTGCATAGAAGACCCAGAAATAAACCCACACACCTATGAATTCTCAATATTTGACAAAGAAGCCAAATCCATTCAATGGAAAAAAGACAGCATCTTCAACAAATGGTGCTGGACCAACTGGATGTCTACATGCAGAAAAATGAAAATAGATCCATATCTATCACCCTGCACAAAACTAAAGTCCAAGTGGATCAAGGACCTCAACATAAAACCAGATACTCTAAATCAGCTGGAAAAAAAAGTGGGAAACAGCCTAGAATTCATTGGCACAGGAGACAACTTCCTGAACAGAACACCAACAGCACAGGCTCTAAGAGCAACAATCAATAAATGGGACCTCATGAAACTGAAAAGCTTCTGTAAAGCAAAAGACACTGTCATCAAAACAAATAGACAGCCTACAGATTGGGAAAGAATCTTCACCAACCCTTTATCTGACAGAGGGCTAATATCCAGTATATATAAAGAACTAAAGAAGCAGAAAAGCAACAAACCAAGTAATCTACTTAAAAAATGGGGAACAGAGCTAAACAGAGAATTCTCAAAAGAGGAACGTCGAATGGCAGAGAAACACTTAAAGAAATGCTCAACCTCATTAGCCATTAGGGAAATGCAAATCAAAACGACCCTGAGATATCACCTTACACCCATCAGAATGGCCAAGATGAAAAACTCAAGTGATAGCACATGCTGGAGAGGTTGTGGAGAAAAGGGAACCCTCCTCCATTGCTGGTGGGAATGTAAACTGGTTCAACCACTCTGGAAGTCAATCTGGCGCTTTCTCAGACAACTAGGAGTAGTGCTACCTCAAGACCCAGCTATACCACTCCTAGGTATATACCCAAAATTTGCTCAAGTACACAACAAGGACATTTGTTCAACCATGTTCATAGCAGCTTTATTTGTAATAGCCAGAACTTGGAAACAACCCAGATGTCCATCAACGGAGGAATGGATACAGAAACTGTGGTATTTTTACACAATGGAATACTACTCAGCAATCAAAAAGGAAGAAATCATGAAATTTGCAGGCAAGTGGTGGGATCTAGAAAAGATCATTCTGAGTGAAGTATCCCAGAAGGAGAAAGACAAACTTGGTATATACTCGCTTATATAGACCTACAAGACATGATAAACATAATGAAATCTACACACCTAAAGAAGATAATCAAGAAAGTGGACACAGGCGAAGGTGATTAATCCTCATTTAGAAAGACAAATGGGATGTGCATTGAACTTATGACAGGAGTCTATCACAAAAGGCATCTGAAAGACTCTACCTAGCAGTGTTTCAAAGCAGACACTAAGACTCATAACCAAACCCTCGGCAGAGTGCAGGGAATCATATGAAAGAAGGGAAGTTAGTATGATATGGAAAGGATAGGAGCTCCACAAGGACCAAATATATCTGGGCACAGGGTCTTTTCTGAGACTGACACTCAACCAAGGACCATCTATGGATATAACCTAGAACTTCTGCTCGGATGTGGCCTGTGGTAGCTCAGTAACCAAGTAGTTTTCCAAAGTAAGGGGAACACGGACTATTTCTAATAGGATCTCAAGGGCAGGCTGTTTGACCCCCACCCCAGGGGAGGAGCAGTCTGATAGGCCACAGAGGAGGACTTTGCAGCCAGCCCTGAAGATACCTGATAAAACAGGGTCAGATGAAAGGGGAGGAGGTCCTCCCCTATCAGGGGACTTGGAAAGGGGCAGGGAGGAGACCAGGGAGGGAGTGTGGGGTTGGGGAGGGAATGAGGGAGCGGGATACAGCTGGGACACAGAGTTAACAAAATGTAACTAAAAAGAAAAATAAAATAAAAATAAAAAAATTAAAAAATAAAATAAAATAAAAAATAAAATAAAATAAAAAAATAAAAAAAATAAAATAAACAGTTCCAGTGCTTAAAAAAAAAAAAAAAAGAAAGAAATGAGTTGTAGTAGGTGTATTGAGAAGGGCCTTAATTGGTGATATCAATGTCTACTAGCCTCAACTGTCTCCTGAAGGGACCGGCAGGAACTTAAAAGATTTCACAGAAAAAGGAAACAAAGGAGAGTTTCATAGAAAAAGAAAAAGTTAAGAGCAGATAGTTTTGGTCAGACCAGTGGTCTGAATAATCATTACTTCAGCTCTGTCTCCACAAGTTCTCTAAAGGTGTTAGTCTTCATTCTTTGTGAAGAGCAGTGTAGTTCTAATTCTTTGGGGATATTGCTTCCATCGTGGGATAATTTGTTCTGTGAGGTATACCATTGCTTGTATGTAGTTTCAAACACTTGTCATAATGATGTTAATTGATCAGTCCTGCCATTCTTAGAATCCAAGGTCATCACAGAAGAAAATAGTAACACTTTAAAAAATTAGTTCTTTAAGTTTGATAATATTAAATATATATGTAATCTTAAAATAGGGCATGGAAATATATGGATGAAAGCATATAGAAAAATTCCAATTCATGCAAATCTAAACCACAATGAACTAGCTAACACCTCACACCCATTAGGATGGCTGTCATCAAAAAGACAAAGAGTTGACACATTTTGGCATGGATATGGAAAAAATGGAACTCTTTTACAATACTGATACAGCCATTGTAAAAAACATTATAGAAGTTTCTAAAAATAAAAATTTATTACAGAGCATCATATTACCTAGCAGCTCCAGTGCTGGGTGTATCAAAACGAACTAAAATCAAAAGCTGAAGGAGAGGTCTGTGCTCCCACAGTAATTGGCACTATATTCACAAAAGCTAATGCAGGGAATTAATCCAAGTGTCTACTGAGGGATGAATAGATGAAAAAATATTGTATCTGTATGTATTATACAGCTATAAAAGAAGGAAACGATGCCATTTATGTCAATGAAGTTAGATGGCATCATTTAAGTCAAACACAGAAAGGAGAATACTTCATGATCCTACTCCCCTGGAAAAATCTGAAAACCAGTTTAACAGATACAATCAGGGAGCAGAATGGTGGCTATCAACCAGGCTCTGGGTAAACCAGAAGATGTTGGTCAAAGGCCATAAAGCCTCAGGTAGGTGGGATGGGAGAGTTCAGAAGGTCTAATGTCCGTTAATTACAAGTTACCATTTAATTAGAACTTGCTATGAGTACATCTTCAGCATTCTCTGTATAAGAAAGAAGTCAACTATAGAAAATTATAGGGATATTAGCCATGATAATGCACTGACTTCATAGGGCTTATGTTTATCAAAACAAACATTAAGTTGGGCCAGGAAGATGACAGCAGACAGCTTTGGCTGGACCACCTGAGTTAGAGACTCCAGAAAAAAGAGAATTTTTTTTTTGTGAAAATTGTCATTTGGCATTCATACCTGTGCCATACCACATGCATACCTCTCCTAAATAAATAAATATAATAAAAATCCATCATACTATATTTATTAACTAAATATTTTAATTTACTGATTATGCATCATTAAAGTTGGGGGAAGAATTAGTTCATAAAGAATGAAAGTCAATAATGTCAAGTACAGAGCAACTGATTTTATATTTCCTTTTTTAAAATGTAAAAGAATACAATGAAATAATTGTATTAAAACTTTGTCTCATTGAAGTCACTAAATCTGTAATTTGTGAAGCAGCTGGAATCCAACAATATTTGAAACTCTAAGACTTATTGGTCTTAATTAGGAATAGTGCTTACTCAAGATCCAGCTATACCACTCCTAGGCATATATCTAAAATATGTTCAAGTATGCGACAAAGACATTTGCTCAACCATGTTCATAAGCAGCTTTATTCGTAATAGCCAGAATCTGGAAACAACTCAGATGTCCCTCAACGGAGAAACGGATACAGAAATTGTGGTACATTTGCACAGTGAAATACTACTCATCAATTAAAAACAAGGAAATCATGAAATTTGCAGGCAAATGGTGGGAACTAGAAAAGATCATCCTGAGTAAGGAATCCCAGAGACAGAAAGACACACACAGTGCATACTCACTTATAAGTGGATATTAGACATATAATGTAGGATAAACATACTAAAATCTGTACACCTAAAGAAGCTAAGCAAGGAGGCCCCTGTGTAAGATGATCAATCCTCACTCAAAAAGACAAACAGGATGGACATTGGAAGAAGGATAAAATAGGAAACAGGACAAGAGCCTAACACAGAGAGCTTCTGAAAGACTCTTCCCAGCGGTGTATCAGAGCAGATGCTGAGACTCATAACCAAACTTTGGGCAGAGTGCAAGTAATCATATGAAAGAAGGGGGAGATAGTAGGACCTGGAGAGGACAAAAATGAGACAAGGAGAAAAACAGAACCAAAATATCTGGGCACAGGGGTCTTTTTTGAGACTGATACTCCAACCAAGGGCCATTCATGGATATAACATAGAACCCATGAACAGATGTAGCCCATGGCAGCTCAGTATCCAAGTGGGTTCCCTAGTAAGGGGAACAGGGACTGTCTCTGACATGAACTCAGTGGCTGGCTCTTTGATCACCACCCCCAGAGGGGGGGAGCAGTCTTGCCAGGCCACAGAGGAGGACAATGCAGCTACTTTTGATGAGACCTGATAGGCTAGGGTCAGATGGAGGGGGAGGAGGACAACCCCCATCAGTGGACTTAGAGTGGGGCATGGGAGGAGATGAGGGAGGAAGGGTGGGATTGGGAAGAAATGAGGAAGGGAGCTACAGCTTGGGATACAAAATAAATAAACTGTAATTAATATAAAAAATTAAAATTTAATAATATAAGGATTATTGGTCTTACTTTGAAAAGCAAAATAATTCAAGTCATTTAGAGGTATTTAGATGAGTTCATTGTAGTTCTCCTCCTGCCTGGGGGCTGCCTCACAGTAGCCTACGAAGTCAGGAGGGGCTGGAGATGATGGAATGGCTGGCCACAGGAATCACACACCCTGAAAACAGCTGATGGCTAGTTCAACTTTACTTCCAGAGAACAAAGAATTAACTCCCTAGGGGAGTGGTTAGGGAGCTCCAAAAATAAGTGAACATAATTGGCTGAAACTAGCCACTTCAAGGATGCTTGATTTGCATTATACAGAACACTCCAATCATAAGAGTAGAACGTCAGTGCTTGGATAACAGAGAGATAAGTGCAGGAAGGGAGAGCTAGCAGGGAGCTGTGTCAGGGGCCATAGATCAAGTGTGGCTAGGGGAATCTAACTAAAGGCATTCTCCAGATGAAGTCAGGCAGAGGGCAGGGGATCCTGCCGAGGGGAGGGAGTGAAGCCATTAGTGTGGAACTCATACTGGCTACCTGGTCCAGGCAAGAACTGCAATCTCAACCAGCAGGGTACCTCCAACAGTTCATATTCAATTTAAAGAAACAAAACTATAGTCAGCATCATTCCACCCTAAGTGAACACTATCCACCTGCTCTTTCTTTCTTTTTGAGTGTCTGTCATCTTTTTTTTCTTTTTTATTTATTTTTTAAATTTTTTTAATTTTTTTAATTATTACAGTTTATTCACTTTGTACCCCAGCTGTTGCCCCTTCTTCATTCCCTCCCAATACCCCCTCCTTCCTCTCCTCCCATTCCTCTCTCCAAGTCTGCTGATAGGGGAGGTCCCCCACCTCTTCCATCTGACCCTAGCTTATCAGGTCTTATCAGGACTAGCTGCGTTGTCTTCCTCTGTGGCCTGGTAAGGCTGCTCCCCCCTCAGGGGAGGTGATCAAAGAGCAGGCCACTGAGTTCATGTCAGAGACAGTTCCCTTGTTTCCCTTTAACCCACTTGGAGACTGGGCTGCCATGGGCTGCATCTGAACAAGGGGTCTAGGTTTTCTAAGATCTTTCTAGGGACTGTGAAATTGTTCAGCAGGTAAGAGAGCTGGTTGAATGAACCAGATCCCCATCTGCACTAACAAGCCAGGCTTAGCAGAAATGCCAATAATGTTAGGTCTGACAGACCTGGCACACATAGATGTGGTCCTCTGTCTGTCTGTCTGTCTGTCTGTCTGCATATTTTCTCTCTTTCTCTCTCTTTCTGTCCTTTACACATACACACTCACAAAGTAAAACATCTTTTCTAAAATATCTTGATGTTAGACTTATTCTCACCACAGATGCAGACATGAAGGCCCCTGTTCCCTATATGTGGACCTTACTCCCTGGGGAAAAATAAAATCTAGGATATAATAATGAGTTTACTTTAAATCTTAAAAATGGCATAATTGGCCCAAGGCTAGATAATGCCCATGGATGGCTTGTGTGGTGTCCTGGACTAGTGGGTCAACAAAGCAATAGCTATCTTGGAGTTTCTTGCCAAATCCTGTCAATGTCTGAACACAGTGTGGAAGATCTGGCAACCGAGTCATTCTTAGTTTGTCAAAAAGAACAGTGTAAGTACTGCCATTTTCCTAAGCAAGGAAGACCAAAAGAGGACCCAAATAAAAAATTTAGGTAAGTGTGTGGCTTTAGATTTAGCTTTTTCCTTTTCAAAATGACAGGAATACACAACCTTAGGTCTACATGAAGCAGGAATATCATCACTGAAACATTTTATAATGTAGATACCAGGGCTTTCTCTTTTTAGGTACCAACTTTTCTTCTTCATTAATATATTTTAAAGGAATAAAGCTGGCCTTCTTATTCATCCACATTTTCCTCATTAACTTTTAAGGAATTAAAACAAAGGAACCATTTTAAATGTGAGGAAAGAAAGAGGAAACAGTCTGTGAATGAGTGTTTGTTGGACCATCTCTCTTATGGTATTTCAGTCATTCTCTCTATAATTGACTACAATATTATCAGCAATTTAAACATGGTCTTCAGGCTTTATTCTGCAAAGACCTAAACTTTTCTTATCTCTGAAATATTTGGAGGCTTTTTTTCTTTGTAGCCTGTGGTCTATCTGCCCCTGTGTAAATAGCTATTTAATTAGAAAACATGATAATATTTTCCCATTCTTCCACTAGCAATATGGGTAAGACCAACAAAGTGTTTAATGATTGTATCATTTATATTTTCTCCTGACTTCAGACAACATTTTTAGAGGTACTTGATAGCAACAGAAACAAAATGTTCAAACTTGCAATCACGTTCAAGGGCAGTATATGAGGATATTAGGGAACAGAGAGGCTCACTACCAGGAAACATGAGAGCGTTCCCCGTCTGTGTTGCCCTGTTTATCTTGGTTTTCCTCTTTCTCTGACTAAGCACCTTTCCGACCTTTGTGAGGGAATGGGATGTGCTCTTTATAGCTCCTGCAGACCCTTCCTTAGCGTGCATTCTCTCTAAGCACTCAGCGCGCGCTCTTCCTTCTCTCCACAGCCTTAACTGTTTGACCACTTCTAGAGTAAATGTGAATTCATGTCTCCTTTTGAGTGCCCTTCTGTTCAGCTGCAATGAACCACACAAGCCGCCCTATCACGTTTTCATGTTTGGGCAAGAGAACCTTTCATCTTCGTTGTCAGTACTGTGGCTAACTAACATGACTTTGGAAAGAGCAAGATTGCTCTTACTTAGTAAAACATGGAATTCTTATTATATAAACACGTGACTTCCTTCACTGTGTTCGGAATGATGCAGTATAGTATAATAGAGTAATAATGTGAAACTATGTATCTTTGTGTAACTAGAGATAAAGGAGGACATAATTACATGGGTTTATCCATTGTTTTAGTAACAGTACATTATTATCTTTATTCATAATAGCTACTCTGACCCAGGTGCTAGTCGAAGCAGCCCTTCCTCCCACTGCCACACCCCCACACAAACACATATTCTTTTGATTCTTAAACTCTATGTAGTGTTATTTTCATTCCTGTTGTACAGAAAAAGACCAACTTAAATGGGCGTGAGCATGGTATTCAATGTGACACAAACAAGAAGTGGGTATCAGACTTTCTCCCACAGTCATCATGCCAATCTGCCTCTTACTCTTTATTCCTCAGGATGGTTAATACATTTTATAGGTTGTGTGAGCATTGATGAGGGCATCACACTTACATTATTCTTTCCTCTTTTCAACAATAAAACTACAAGAAATCAAATTTTATATTGTCTCATTATTACATTACGCATGATAAAACATTT